TAGCTTCCACTAGTCACAGATGTTATGTTCAAGCTCACAAAGGACCGGCAACATTCTCATTGTTATTTTCACCGACTTACAGTTGTGACCCGCAAGCTGCTTTTTTATGCTTTGGGGGGGGGTGGGGGATAACTAGGTAGCGGGTAGTGAAGGCGCGTCTGGAACGCTTGCATAGAAGGGCAAAAGGTTTGCTGTACCAACGTTCTGCTTGGATTGGAAAAGGGGACATGTGCACACACGGAACAACAAAAGTGCTAAATGACTGTCAGCATTCCCTGCGAGGAGGAACTGGAGTACCGTCATAATTCCTTCAGCTGCACCTGGGTATTCTACCTGCTCTGTCGATACAAGAAGTTAATTGACGCCTACGTCTAACCACCCTTGGCGAAGTTGCGTCGAGGTTCTGCAGCCGTCGTCGCAATGACGTCCAACAAGAAACGGAAGTACGAAGATGAACCTCGGACATTCCTTCCTGAGTGGGAAAAAAATTTCGCTTTCACAAAAAAAAAAAAAAAAAAAAAGCAGTAAGCCCTTTCGCTTCATCTGCAATGCCGCAATTTCGTACCACAAGGCAAGCAATGTTTGACGGCATTATGAAACCAATCACGACACCTTTTCTCGGGTCTATCCAGCTTCGTCTGAGTTGAAAAAAGTCAAACTGGCCCAGCTCAAATCGCGACTTCAGAATCAGCAGTCCTTGATGAAGACCTTCAGCAAGGGATCTAACGTAGCAGCTAAAGCAAGCTTTGCAATCGCCTGGAACTTTGCTCGTTACAAACGAGCTTACACAAAAGGAGAATTTGTGAAGACCAACATCTCCAACGTCGCGCCTTTGTTGGATCTAAAACACGAGAATCTTCAAAGGTTGGTCAATTAGGTCCCAGTTTCACAACATTCGGTCGAAAGACGCATTTCACAGCTAAGCGCCGCCGTCGTCAACAAGCTTCAGGAGGGCCTGAACAGCTGTAAAGCATTAAGCTTAGCCCCTGATAAATCTACGGATATACAAGACAAGCCACAGCTTGCAATCTTCGTTCGTTCTGTTTCATCCGAGGAAAGTGTGAGAGAAGAGCCTCTGGACATTGTTTCCCTCAAGGAAACCATTCGTGGTGTTGACATTAACAACGCATTGTTAACAACGTTGAAGAGGTTCGACGTTCCTCTGCACAAACTTGTCGCTATTGCCACTGATGATGCTCGTGCTATGGTTGCTAAGAATACGGGCTTGGTAGGTCTTCTGCGGAGCGACCCCAGCATTCCACATTTTTTCCTAATTCATTGCATTATCCATCGTGGACACCTGGTTGTGAAGTAATTCAGCTATGAAGACGTTTTAAGCTCCGTCCTTCGAGTCGTTAACTACGTACAACCGAATGCCGAAACCCACCGACAATTCCGCAACTTCCTCGAAGAACTAGAACTTCATGAAGCGCTTAACGACCTATCGTTTTAAATGGAAAAGCATTAACTGTCCCATGGAGCGAGCCGCCCCAAACGGCACCTTAAATCCTTTCTCCAAGTGAAGCCAGCTCCCAGCTATGAAACCACGCAAGAAGCCCCTAGACAACGGCCCCTAGTTTCCCCGATTCCAAAGGAGTGGAGTAAAGCTGATGTATTTCAGCTTCTGTCCCATTGGCTGGCGCGCGTCGACGAGGCTCCCATTGGCCGCTGTGCGTCAGTTTCAACGACCGCTCACTCCATGGCGCTGCGTGTCCGTCAGCACGCTGTTAACACGGAGCGTCCAATGTCAACGCGCCGAGGAGAGCGCGCACGCTGACCGGCAGCGAAAAGTATGCAGCAGACGACATGAGGGAGCGGACGAGAGGCTTGCATGCTTTCGCATTCACAACACATAAGAAGTGCTCAGGTGTATCTCGAGCCTTTTTTTTGTGCGGTACGTTGGTTGTCAATGAGCAACGTACTATCAAGTTTTGTGCATCTTCTGAAGCCAATTCAAGCTTTTCTGGAGGTGAAAGGGAAGTCATGTCCTGAACTTCATGACGCAGGTTGGTGTGTCGTTCTCGGTTACCTCACTGACGTAGTCCAGCACCTTATAACTCTAAACATGTCGCTGCAAGGGAAAGAAAAGATGGTATCGAAATTTCCGCTGAAGGGCATCCTGCCGCTGAAGGGCATCCTGGATGCTTAAACTGAGTTTGAACTGACCGATGCTAAGCTCAGGAAATATTTCGTAAAGCTCGATGAACTCGAGAGGGACTTTCAGTCCCGGTTCAAAGATATGTGCCAACTCAAGCCCTGTTTCGTGCTTCTGATGAATCCTTTTATGGTTGATGCGTTGAGTGTCGACTGTCCAACCATGGAAAACTTGGCAGGAGATGTAGGAGCCTTCGAACTGGAACTGCTTGAACTACAAGAAGACGAAGGGCTGAGGACGTTCCTGCGGTCTCAGGAAATTGCAGTATTCTGGCGCCAGGTGCCAGAAGTAAGGTATCCCTACGTCAAGGTCGCGGACCAGAAACTCCTCTTCACATTTGGATCAACATACTGCTGCGAGGCTCTGTTCTCAACAACGAAGGTGGTGAAGTCGAAAACAGCGCACGACCCTTGCGGACGACCATCTGACTGAGCTGCTCCGGAGCGCAACAACGTCGTTCGAGCCGAACTTCAAGGGGCATGTTTCAGGAATGGGGAAGTCCAACACAGAAACACAATGAGCAACCGCTGCACGAGTGTAATTCACTGTGCCCGCAGCCGAGATTAATGAAATAAAACACCTGCCACGCCCCCTTTTTACTGCGAATCTTCACTAAACGGGTTCTTTTTTATGGCTGTTTGCATATGTCTCTTGAGAAAAGGGTGGGAAAGTATAGTTATGTCCAGAGTTTCGTGGTTTTGTTTGTGGCTTGTAGGCCGGGTTAGCCTGGCCACCCCTGAGTTTTACAATTGAGATAGTTAGGGGGTAGAAAATTGGCTTAGAAGGGCGCGGGAAATCAAATCAAATGTTTGTCTTTCTTAGACTTAGGCTAGGTGGCGCCAGCTACCACCCGCTACAAAGGGTATAGCCAGTAACATCCATTCATCCATCCATCCAAGTCGGAGGAGGGGGGGGGGGGGGGTATTTATACAAGACTACCGGGGACGGTTCATAATTTAAAAGGAGGTAGTGACGGTATGAGGAGTATAGACGCGGTTTCGGGAGGCTGCGAGTGACGGGAGGAGTCCACAGTTCAAACAGGAAGGGACGACGGCAGGAACTTGTGCAAACGGGTCGAATAATGCACGGATGGCGCACACAAAGCATGCAGATAAGGGTTTTACGTGTAGGCTGAGCAATAGTGTCCGGCCTAAAACATGAAAGTTGCTTCCAAAAAAAGAAAAGTGGGCGGGGGATACAAGAAGGGACACATGGTTCATAAAGCACAACACAGTCTGAGTAGGACACAGGAGGAGGGATGCACGCAAGAAATAAAATATATTTATATAGAGAGGACTAGTGAAAGTGAGGTGTAGTAAAACCAGCAGCTACCGTAACTTTTTTTTTTCACGTATTGCCCAGGCTTCTTCCATATGTCCGCTAAGCCATAAATAATGACTGTCATAAAATAAATATCTCATTTTTGTTTTCATGCAAGGGGTGGTGGTGTGTTCCACAAAAATACATGATATCTACATTTCCGAAGATAGTTGTTACAGTGTGTAATGCTATTGTATTCATTTTTATAATTATATTTATAAAATATATTTTTATCTCTCATTTCCTAGACACTGCCACAGTTTTTGTTTCGTATTTTTTTGCTTCACCCACACTTTTATTTCTCAAGATTACGAAGCAAGGATAAAAAGCTGCGTGCAAGCTGTAGTATGTATATCTTAGTGCCTTGCACGCAGCTCACAGTTCGAATTAGAGTATATAGATTTATTATTGGGACGGCAGACCTAGCTTTGTTTTGTGTTCTGAAACAATACACGTGAGCACCACTAATATCTCTTTTGGTGCTTTCTTATATATGTCTAAAAATCAATTGTTTAGAAACGCAGACGCGTCACCGTTTTCAGCCGCCGTGATCTTTTGTTGCACCCATCTGTGATGCCGATGGCTTTGAAGGTGTAAAGGAATTTGTGAGTTCCCAAGAGAGATTTGCAAGCCGCAATGAGGCGTTGCGTTCTGTTTCGCCCTCCCAATGTTGCTCTTGGACCGCCGATCCTCGTGACGATCAATAGCTCCGCGCTTGCTCGGTTTATCTTCATCACTGTACTTGTCGGTTGTTCCCAAACAACAAATGGACATTCTTCTCGGAGAAAGCGTCTCTTCCCCGTCCATCTTTGTTCAGATTCCCGCGTCTCGACCACGTCGCTTCTAAACTATAATAAACCGTGAGGAGGTCGGTTTATGAGGTCGGGCGGCAGTTACAGGTTAACCGCGCTGTTCGTTTTTACGACCTGGTTAGGGAAGATGGGGGTAAAAAGGGGGAATAATACGGAAGAATGGGGAGCTGTTTAATGGCCGGCAAGAACGAGTGTACGGCAGTGACGGGCCGGGGTGCTTTTGTTTTTCTAGCACTGCACTCATTGCGAGAGGCCTCGTCTGATCCGCTTGTTTCTTCCCGAGTGGACAGTTCAATTTCGGCTAATGGGATTTTTATCTTTGTTTTGGGCCCAATTCGCCGAGCGCGCTGAATGTGTGACTTCTCTTTGGTGACGTCACAAGCTACTTAAATGCGAAAATTGGGGATCACCCGGATCACACCTATAAAGCGGTTAGAACGACGTGGATTTCGTGTGGCTACGCCTTGTAGAAGGTGAACCTTTATTTGTCCAGTGACAGCGTTGCGCGTCATTCAACAAAAATTGGGTCCTCGATTCTACCTGCGGAAAATGATTTGTTGTTAGGGAATGTTCAAAGGGTTTAGAACTTTTTGTTGGCTTAGAACTTTACGACATGCCGTAACATGCATGGTTTTGTTTTCGTTCTTTTTCTTAAGTGATTTTTTTTCTTTACCGAAGCCCGAGCATGAACGGTGTTATCTCTTTCGTTGCAGTGGGAAGGCACTTTAGCTGTATCACCGCAGGTTTTGAACAGCCTCGTTACCAGTCGCACGGTGTCGCCACAGGTAGGCCACTTGCTGAGCGCGGAATGCACCCTCGTAGCTCTCGGGGGCGTTGGAACCGTACGTTCCGGCCAAAGTGTCTGACGACAAATTTTTTTTTTGTCTTTTTACGTAGGTTCGGTCCAAAGTGTCTGACGACAAATTTTTGTCTCTTTACGTTGCACTAGTTGGCTTCTGCACGTTTTTGTCTACCAGTCCGTGGAAGGTTTTCTGAGCATGCGCACCAGCTCTTTTCTGGGGGATATCGGGCATGCTTCCACGGGCAGGCTCAAGCTAAAAGCCGTTACTCCCTCAGAAAGTAACAATGCACCTTGGTACAATCCAAAAGGAACGCCTTAGCTTGAAAGTAATGCTTTATTTTCTCCTTATCCGAAAGTGTCGCTTTTATTAAGCAGTATCCATATTTGTCGTCGTTAATGATTTCTCGCTTTTCAATGCGTTCATTCGGCGATAACTGTGACTATGCGGCCATATCTTATTCCTTTTTGTGGTTTATTTGGCGATTTTTTGTCGTGCATATTACAGGCGCTACCTGCGGTGAGAACTAGAGTTGGTTGCTTGTGATGTAGACCTCTAAAAGTAACTACATGCAGCCACTCGTTTTTTGATCAAAAGTTAACAAAAAAAGGTTATTCGTTTCTTCTCTCGAAAACTGCCTACATCGTTACAGAAAGTTGTAACCAAGTACGAGTAACGCGTTAATAGACCCGAATCCCGTGACTGAATAAATTAATGAAGGCTGACTGCGCAAACGATGGCGTTCGAAAAGAGCCCTTGTCCCGGGGGAGCCACGACCACAAGTAGACCTTGTGGTAGTGATGCAAAACTATCAATAAATTGATTATCGATACTACCGATGGTTATTCCAAAACTATCGTTAGTGCCGCAGAACTATCTATAGTCGACTATTGATAGTACTATCGATAGTTCTTTGATAGTCGACCAGCTATAGTACTATCGATAATTTTTTACTACGACAGTCCGATTTCTGGCGACTATCGATACTATTGATAGAACTCGCGATAGTTTTGCACCACTACCTTGTGGTCGTGGCCCCCACGTGGCCTTCACCATACAATTTCCAGCTTCCCCCCGCCATTTTTTTAAGAATCGGCAGAGCGTATCGGGAAAACTATAACGTAAGACAGTATCTTCTCGAGGCCGTTACCTCTTATCTTGTATGCTTAGCATTATTCAGAACGAAATTTTTTGTAAGGACGGTTGTTTTTCACCAATCCAGGAGTGTACGTTCTTTTAAAGGGGGCCGCATCCCCGAAATCAACTCTCTGCAGACCCAAGTACTACTATGGAAGGACGCGCACCGCTGACGCCCCTGAAATCGCAGAATTTGGACCAGAGGGGCGTGAATTTGGCAGCGTAAACCACGTTAGGCCTTAACACCTGGCATACGTGGTGCACAATTTGGAGGGATTGTAATGCAACCCGGGACAATCAGCACCCCGACTACAGACATTCAAGTGAATATGAACGTCTCGGACCATTAGGGCTTCCCAAAAAAGCCACCGGACATCTGATCGGCGAATGTCTGAGGGACTACGCCAAGAGGGTAATGCAGCCCAACCAGGCAGAAATAAAGGCAAAGAAAGACTGCGACACGTTGAGGTAATCACCTTGGCAAGATATCCCGTCATTGGACGACGCTCAAAGCCAATAAATGATGGTGCGGGAAACATTTTGTTGAATGAGGATTTTTGGCAAGACAACTGGCAGATGCACAGACGCAAGTGCCATTGCAAGCGACAATCGATGTCAAAGGGAAATTTCGAAGCGGAAACAAAACCCGGGAGCAAGGAAAACACGCAAGGTCAAACACTCACCCAGACGACAGTGCTCAAGCCGATATGTCGTGAGAACGCCAACAAATTCGGATCAAGAGAGATCAGGCGCGCCGTGCAGAAGGCGGAAATAACCAGCGGGGAAGAATATAGTATCAAGATTCAACCTAAGACTAACACCATCGCTTTAACGACACGCAGCGAACAGAAGGAAGTCGGAGAGGAACCTGAATGTCACCGAACTTTAGAAGGACGCGCTGAGGCCATACAAAGCCATGGATGATGATCAGGCAAAGGACGTCATTTACCTCAATGGAGTCACCAGCGAAGAGACCCCTGAGGCCCTGTTCGCCGACCTAGAATGCAGGATGGCGAAAATTGTTTTTTTGCAGGACTCATGGGCAGTAATATAGATGCCGTGGTCATCGCCTTCGAGGGCACCCGGCCACCAAGGAAGGCGATGTTCTGCAGGCAAGTGTTCAACGTCGAACCCTACAGACCAAAACCCATCGTATGTTACAGCTGCGATGGGATTGACCACATGACTCACGTCTGCCCCAGACAAAGGCAACGATGAAGAAGCTGTGGTTACATCAACGACAAAGAAATAGACGATTGCACGAGGGAACCGCGGTGCAAAAACTGCGGAGGACGCCTCGTCGCCACGAGCAATGACTGCCCCAAGCGTAATATCCCAGAATAGAAGTCGGCGCGTCTGCAGCAGGGAGAACAAACATTGCTGCTGCGGAAGGCAAGCTATGCGGCAGCTGCCAAATCTGCCAGATTGACACAATCCGCGGGGTACAAGACGAGAGCTGCAGCCCAGACGTCATCTAGGGCACAAGCAAAGCCCAACGAGGGGCTTCAACGGACTGGCTTCCGGCCTGGGCTAGGGAGATCGCGAATAAGACAACAGGTAAAGGCCACAACATCAGCTTCCAAAAGCCACAAATAGAGACATGGTCCAGCTGGACAAACGGTACGCCACCAAGTCAGAACAGAAGCGACAGCAAACCAAGGTGGACATAGGATTCGGCGTCGTATTCCAAGTGATGAAAAAAACCTGCGAAGACATCGCTGAACTGAAAGAAAAAAAGATTACAGAATGAATGTAAGAACCCATGTGACCGGACAAACAGCCTCGTATTAGACCCGGGTCATTCAATGGGGTTGCTGTTCTTTTCAGGCTCGGGGGGTGGACTCAAACTCTGCTTTGAATACGAATCCCCGCCATAAGTTCTACTTCTACAAAATACCACAACTCCCAACATGACGCTACCATGCTACAACTTCTACACCGTACCCACAATACGAATGCGTCCCAGTCACAGGGAAAAGAACCCCATGGAGAAGAAAGACTGGGCAGCCGTGGGCGTACTTCGACACAAACCCCAGGCACAGCTGAACGCCTCGAAGCTCTGCTCAGGGGACCGAGAGTTGGTTGCTGTGAGGCACAAGAACCGCGAACAACGAATGGTGATGGCATTAGTCTACAGTAGGTCTAAAGCCAAACCAGATGAAAAAAAAAAAAAAAACCGAGGAGCTGGGTTTGCGAGTAGTTAGAGCTGGCCAACGGAAATCAACTAATCGCCGGAGGTAATTTTAACGCGCAGCACAAAATCTCATGCTATAGCGTCATAACCAAGGAAGGCAGGGACATATAGCTGAACTCATGAGAGAAATCGGACTCAAGCTGGAGTCATGAAAGAGATCGGACTCACGCTATACAACGAAAGTGGCGTCAAGACCAGGCTGGCAAAGCAAGGCAAGATGACACTACCCCCGACCTAACGTGGGGATTGGAGTCCCTTATCCTCCAATAGACTCCAAGGAGGGAAACTCTAGGGAGCCACCATTATTCTATAGAAGTAACCGTCGAACGACATGTGGGTGGAAAACCCAAAGAAGCAAGACCGATCATCCGATGGAACCGCTTCAGGGACGTACTACTAGAAGACTTGGAGGCGGGGAAGAGTCTCGAGGCAAGCATCCAGCACGCACTGTCGAGAGTCAGGACGACGGTCATGGTCAAACCGAAATCCCGACGCTCAACCTGCACCTCCTGAACTTCTGGGCCAGCAGATTGAAGGACTTGCTTCGGGAAAAGCAGAACCACACAACGCGAAATCAAGTTCAGTCTATCGTCGGCGAAAGCCACCAGGATTTGCAAACATCTCAGCTGACGGAAGTGGAGGTCTCATTGCGAGTCTTTTAGCGTGAGAACCGGATTCGGAGAAGCCTGGCGTACGTAGTGTGATATAATGGTAAAGGAAAGACGGACAAGAAACGGAACGCAGAACCTAGCGCTCCGGCTAAACATAACGGAAGAGCTGGCAGCCAGAGTCGTAGTGTTATTCTTCTCACAGGCAAACTCGCAAAGCGGACTGAGGAGGCAGAACTGAAAAGGTCGGAAGGTCAGACCAGCGATAGAACCCGGTATGGTGGAACCTATCCACATGGGTGAGCTCCAAGGGGCAATACACACGGCTAAGGCAAACAGTGCGCCGGGACCAGACGGCGTTAAATACTCGGTTTTTTAAAACCACCCGGCTGAAGCTAAATAAAGGCCACTTGAAGAGCGCAACCACACATGGGCAAATGGGGAGCTACCTAGCCACTGGAAGCTGCCCTAGGTTTCACATATACCCAAGCCAGGTAAGTCACAAAACAAGATGGAAAACCTGAGGCCGGTCTCGTTGACATTTAACGTATGCAAACTGACGAAGAAGATAGTGCTGCGTAGAATCCAGCGGTATCTGGAGACCTATGGCAGACTCGACCCCAGACAGAATGGTTTCAGAAAAAATATTGGAGCCCAAGATAGTCTGAAATTCTTCTACGAAGAAGTGATGGCCAACAAGGATACGGCGGATCCAAAGCTTGTTGTAGCCCTGGATATCAAAAAGGCGTTTAATACGGTTCCGCCCCGGGCAGTCATTCAAAGCGCCAAAAACTTTGGCCTGAGGAACAGAACGCTTCGGTCTATACGAAACTTCCTTGCGGACAGAAGGTTCTAAGTCAAGGTCAGGGAGACAAAAAACCAGAGACGCCCACCAAGAGAGGATTCCCGCTATAATTTTGTAATATCGCCAGCGCTCTTCAATATGGTGATGGCTGATCTCCCGGCCAGACTCCGGCGCATTATAGGCCTGGGATTTACCATATATGCAGGCTATGTTAGATGAAAGGGAATTCTTGGGAAAGCAGACCATGCAACAAGGAATTGATGAAGTCATCGAGTACCATCATGAGGTCGGCATACAAGTGTCGCCCAGAAAGACACGATTCGTGGTCGTGGCCAGACCGAGGGACCATCGGAAAGGCATTTCGGACCAAGTAGAATTACAGATTGATAAACAAAATATAGCAAGAGAAAAGCACATGAAGATACTTGGTGTAACTTTTGAAGAAACGGCCCGTAGTACGAAGAGGAGACCGGAAATGAAGAAATCGTGGGAGCAGACTTTAAAGCTGATACGAAAGACGACCAACAAGTCATGGAGAGTGGACGAAGACACAAGGAAGACATTGGTCAATGCCATACTAACGGCCAAAGCGCTATATAATTGCAATTGGCTCAACCTGAACAGGACGCAATGGAAGCAAATAAAAATACTAAATCACCGCACCACGAGGCTCGTTACGGGACTTCCCTGCTTTATGATCCTAAGTGACCTAAAACGACAACGTAAGAATGAACCTGATCCAAGACCTAGTGGAGGCGCTGAGCATAGCGCATTTCCAAAGGGTCCAGAGACATAAGCATCGTCGCCCATCGGTCCGCTCCCAAAGCACACAATCAAGAGCGCAATGCGCGGGTAGCAGCAAAACACGCCAAATGGTGCCAGGACAACACCGTCTAGATATAACAAAGTCGCAGTGCTAATAGAGATGTCGTCATCAGCGAAGGTTAACGCTGGTCACAAATTGGACAGGACGACTGCGTCAACTTCCGGCTTCAACTTGACTCAAAGCCGACCGCTGACCCAGCATTCGTTTTCAATCAGTGTTCAGCGCTGGCCTTGGTTGGTGACGCAAAAACAATGTCAGCACTACGGCCTTGTCTTCTAGGCGATGTCGGCAAGGAACACGCACACGATGAAGAAATTAGATACACAGATGCAACTAAGAACGAATAGATCGTGGTCGCTGCTTGAGTTGATTCGAAGGAAAAAATGGAAGGCACCACGAGACTACCCGAAAACTCCTCCGTGCGCATGGCAGAGCTCAGAGCAAGTTTGGAAGCAAATATATATATAACCGTATACGACGCAACACGAAAGAGTCAAAGAGAGGAAGGATTTTTACTGACTCTCAAGAGGCGTTCCGAGTATGTAGGGGCAGCAGACCCAAAATGAAAACTGCAAAACAAAATTAAAAACGGTCGCCAAAGAGCTGCGGGCGAAGGGGATCGTGCTGACAATTGAGTGGGTACCGGGACACACAGCGATTTCCGGCAACGAATGGACTCACAGGGCCGCAGCGGAGGCAGCGATCAGTAACAGCTTTGCGACAGGTCCAACCACTCGTCATTTCAAAAAAGATGCAAAAGACCCAATGGAAAAGGCCGAACTAGCTACCCAGGGGGTACGGAAGATGGGAAACGACCAGACTTCGAATAATTCGAACCAGCACGGCAGTTACACCGGCCAAACTAGCAGTCTTTGAGCTACTTGAAGAAGAAGAGTCCACCTTCACGACATGAAGCGAAGACAAAAGGGAAAGCATCAGGCACTTACTGTGGCCGTGCAAAGGGCCAGAACACCGGAGAACGGCGTGGGAACAATTAGGCGTCAACGACAAACCGACAACGCTGCAAGCTTGGAGGCACCAAAGAGGTGAAGAAGCACACCGAAAGGCAATCCTCGACTCACTGGCGGAGTTGATCAGGAAATGCGGGACTCATTCATTCATCGAATTGCGCCTTAGTCATTCACTCCACCTTACAAACCCGCACACCCCCCTCCCTCGTCTCAGGGCACACCGCCCATACACGAGGATCCTCATTTTCATATAAAATATATGTTTTGAATCAATCAATAGCACTGACCAAATTGACTGCGCCTAATAGCCTCGCGCGTTTTGACCATTCACTCGTGAATACCTGGATAATTTTTTTAATCTTATTTTTTGTAGCAGGATCACGAGACACTGTCTAAACCGCAATACAGCGTTAATGCGGGGCGGATGTTGGCTGGGAATTTCGGCGCATTTAGCTGAGCGTCGAGTAATAAACTTTACGATTGAAAGCTGGAGAAAGCGCTAATTGTTTTGGGCGTCTAGCTCTGCGGTGGGAAGTTTTTGTCAGAAACTGGATTGACCGATTGAGTGTAACGTTTTTTTTTAGGTGTTGGGAATTTGTCAAGCTGTTTTCACAGTTTCTTTCCCAGCCCCTTTCATTGTAAAGTGGTAAATAAACATTGAATTGAATTTTAATTATAACAATTATGGGTTTTTTGATAAAAGGTCTCGGCCTCCTTCAGCTAGCCCTCTACCTCAGCACCCCACAGCACGCGTAAGCAAAGAATTATGTATAGCATGATGATTAACTTCCGCTCGACATGATTTGCTATGTTGTTGCACAATTTCATTGCATCTTAAAGACAATGACGTGTGTTATCCTCGATTTTAATTGTGCGTCGGTAATGGGTGTTGCATAGAAATCTGGCATCTCCGAGTACGAGCGTTGTAGAAAATTGTTAGGTACTTTTGCACGGTCTAATTACGTCCGCACCTAGCACAGAACATTTCAGTGTATTTTATTTCTTCGTTTTTTTTTTTTAAATTTTGTTAAGTTTCTAAATTTGTCAAATGAGGCAGGTGGGGTTGTAGTCGTACGCGTTGTAAATTTGAGACCCGACTCACGGACGGTGGACATGAATTCTATCGACGGGCAAAACTAATTGGCACCTCCGTGCATTGCCGCAGTCCTTGCCTGTCTTTTAATGGGCTTCGGGGACACCAGATGGCATTTCAAGGTCCAATTCCCAACTCGCACGACAAACGACAAACACTCTCGCAGCTATGTACCACGCACATTGTTGGCAGACATCTCTACGCTTCGATTGCCGAGGACCTAGTTTAACTCGCGGACAAATATTATCGTTTGTCGAGTGAGTGAGAGACGAAACGCGTTACATGGCCGATGAACCTTCTGAGAATGAATGTGGCACTCAGGGGCAGATAGAAAAATAGTTTTGTGTGTGTGGATGAAGGGCCAGTAAGTACGGTTTCTGGGGAAACTTGTAAAAAAAGATCGGTTATCGCTCACTGCCGGTGACGGGGCAGGGGGTGACGGGTCAAGAAAGCTCCTTTGGCGATCGTTTTGTGCACAGGGCGAAGAGGACCTGGTGAGTCGGTGCCTGCTGCCGGTAAAGGCGATCGTGTTCCTCGAGATTTTCCCGTTCTGCGTGGTGTTCGACGAGCAGCTGCGGATCACCAACATCGGCAACAGCCTGCAGGCCGTCATGCCGGCCGTGGTCGGACGACGAATCCCCGAAGTGTTCGACTTGGCCAAGCCACTCGTAGAGTGCTCCTGGAAGTCGGTGAGGCTGCCTCGGTACACGCGATATACGAGGGAAAGCAAACTATCCAAATACTTGACGAGGAAATGTACCGATGTTACTCGCACATCGTGACTCGAGCTTCGTTGCAGACATCTGCGAGACACGCGTCCTCAAGCATCTTCCAAGCACGTCATCCGTGCCTCGAACCTGTCTGTTGAGGATGCTCCAGACGGCGTCTGCGGGGCTCTCCTTCGTAGCCTTATGAACAATCCGCGTCCGAGAAAACGCAGGTCGCTCTCTCGCGTTGCGTAGAGGTAAAGGATTCGCCAAGACAGCAGAGGCAGTGACTGAGTTGAACGGCGAGATAGCGCGGCAGTCATGGCACCCTTCCCAGACACGAAGACGCGCGTCCAGCTGTTCTAATTAATCGACGGATTTTCGGCGCCAAGGCCAATTGATTCTCGCGGAGTAAATTCCCTAGTAAAGTATTTGCTGAAACCAGCGAGAGAGTTTGCAACGTAATGGCAGACTGGTTGCTCTCGCGCATGCGTGCGTCGCTGCTTTGCGAGGAGTGAAAAGCGGACGAAGAGGAGCGAAGCCTGCCTGCAGGCATCTGATCCTTCTCGCTCCTGGAATCGCAAACGCGCCCGACCCCGACCGAGCCATTGGAAACACTCTGAAATATAAGCGAGCCCGCGAAATTATATTTCTGACGTCACGGCGAGGGTGGTGACGTCGTAGGCCGTGGCACATGCGCGTCGCTTAAAGAATGAACGGGTTTTTCTTCCCGGCTTCCTCTGGACGGAGCTCTTTTCTTAGCAAACGATGAGTTTAAATAATAGCGTGTGTCATTCCTTACTTCGATAGTTTGGCTCCTCCTCCAGCGTAAGCTTCCTGCAGACTCGGGCTGCAGCCAAAGAGCGCGCGCTGGAGGCGGAGTTACACGTGCCTGTGGAGCCTGTCGCCGACTAGACAATAGGGACGAATGCTGGAAAGATGCAGACGCCCCTTTCAAAAAGTCTGACAAGAGGGAATCAAAACTACATCTGGCTGGGTACAATGGGCACTGGACGCCATCTTGAAGGATGCTCCCGGTTTGTTTACCTAGTAAGAGTTTTGTGGCGTAGTGAGGAGGTCGGATGTGAAATACAACTGCAGTTTTTTGTTTCTTTTTTTATCACGAGCTAAGAAATCTTTTATTTATCTGCTCGGGGTAAGAGCAAGGTACTCGGTGCTACCATTAATTTATCTGAAGTGAAAGTAGATTGGTTCCTTGAATGTTATTTATGTGTTTTGGTGATGCGATCGCAGCCACTTTGTTGTGAAAGATAAGTGAATGTTCGTGGCTAGGCAAGTTTCGAGGCTCGCCCTTGCATCATCCTATTATTCTAGAGTCTATTCCCGATCAGTCTTGAGCTTATGTACCACGCAGTGCGCAGTTGTCAACAATCCGGTGACTGCGGCCAACACATCGGTAGTCGCTGCGCCTGCAAGTGCTCTGACTGCCAAACTCACTAGCAAGTTGCAGTCGTCGCGCAAAGCAGATAGGCTTCCTGTCTAGAGTAACCTTTGCGAAAGAAGTGTCCCTTTATGTTTGCTTTAATGGCGTTAGCACCTCATTTGTGCAGACTGGTTGAGTAAACGCCAAATTTGATTATATCACAATTTTTACAGGGCCGCTTTTAAGTTCCGCCTCAGATTTTAACATTTGCACACACCCAAGGTTCCTACCTGAAAATCTATCGCACGAAATAAATTTTAATGTATCCTTTCATAAGTCTTATTTCGGCCGAATAATTTTTCGACGCTTCGTCGAACGTAATTGCTAAAACGATCATTCATTAGAAAACAATTGTTACACGTATTAACTACATCGATATTTTGATAACGTAACTTTGAAATATTCTTAGCGTTCTAAACGCTGTAATTAATCCGCTTTTTAATTCTGCGAGACAAGCACGCGAGGCCGTAGTTAAACCTATCTTCCGCATCTACGAGTAAAGCCTCCGCACGAATAAAACCGTGTTCAAAACCGATAGCCGCACATTTTTGGTGAATAACAATAGTAACTCTCTCCGCAGTGTATCAGGCTTGCTTGCAAATCTACGCGTCAAACGGTCCTTGCCGCGTCGAACGGGCAGTCGCCACCCCGATCGTGGCTGTCGTTTAGTTTGCACATCACGGCAGAACAAGGCAAATACAGTTTCTTCACGGATTCGGGCAACCAAGCCACTTTCTATCTGACTTTGCGCAGCAAAACACGAGCGTATTATGCTCAGGTCCGGCAGGGTGCGCGACCCAGGCGTTCGCCCAGGGCGCCGTCAAAAGGGGGCTGCGACAGCGTCCCCTTGGCTTTTATTTAGCTTTCAGATTCATTTGCACATGGCGCCCGACACGACGTTGTATGCTCGATCGCCATTTGTTTTTGGAATGCTGGTCTGGTCTCACAAAACGCTCGTGTTGGACCACTACTCAGAGGTCTACTAACAACGTGATGTCGCACCTAGTTGGCAGGGGTGCATAAGAGGGGGGGGGGGGGGGGGTGGACGCCATAGTCGGTGTTCGCCCAGGGCGCTTGATGGTGAAGGGCAGGCCCTGACTGTGATTAGCATTGCAACATTGAAACGTGCACAGACTGGCATGAGATGGCGTCGAATTGCCAGTCTGTCATTGTCAAGATGGCGTCGAATTCATTGTCGTGCGACAGATGGCGCTCTTATACCTAAGGGCCTTATTACGAGGCAGTGACAGTACAAGGAACCCGGAATTTTGATGCTTTCCTCATCGGCCAATGCTCAGACTCATTGGCTGGTGAGCGAGAGTGAAAAGTACCTCCCTTCGGTTACTTAGATTGAACAGTATCCCTTCCAAACATGAGAGTCCGGCCGCCCTTCGGGAACGCCCGCAGAAACCTCGGGACAAAAGCTCGCTTATTTTATCCGAAGGATCAAATAATCAACACGGCGGAGGTCACTTGGGCTACGGCGAAGGCGGCGGGATCAACGAAACCTTTTTTTAAGACAGTTCCGCGTGAGCGCGGCGTAACTAACCTTCAGGATTTTTTTTTTTATTCCGTTAGCGGTGCTCGCTTCTTGTATTGGCGGTGCTCGCTTCTTGAGCGCGCACAAAAAAACAAATCGATATTTTTTCGCAATTTGGGCGGCGCAGCAGACGTGTTTACGACCTTTGCAAACAACATCTTTGTTGCTTCCCAGGCTAGAAGAGGTTTTAAGCCGTCGTTGTTTCATGAGGTCCCGTAAGCAGCTGCCAGCCATTGCGTCCATTCTTTGGGCGCAGTCGAAGAACTTCATCGCTAGACGTAAGTTCAGGTCCCGTATAAAGCCGGCTTCAGTAAAGTGGCCGCTTCACTGATCGTACATCACATCTCAAGGTGTTGGCTGCAGACACAAGGACTGTCTGCAAACGCGCCTCGAGAATCTTCGAAACGTCTTGAATCTTTGTAGGCAGTGTTTGCATGGCCGTCACACGAGGAAGCCTGGGTCTGCAGACTGTGTGATGCAGCGTGAGCGTCCTTTCAAAGCCTCCCCGGCGGCGACAGCATAGCCGAGGTCCCTCCTCTGGACCTTGTCGAGCTCCGAGGTCTCGTATCGATCGAGCGCTGCAGGGCGCGACGGTTGAACGCCACAAAGGCGACGACGGAGGGATGACGCGGTCGGAATGGCGCCCCGCTGCGATGCCCGGGGATCCGTCTTCGTTTCTGGACGGAAGCCGGCCTCCAGTCCGTCCGGCCGAGAAGCTCTAATCTGTGCCGCGCAGTGGTCCCTGCTCCCCTTGCTTCTTGTTTCGAGTCGACAACTGAGCGCGACGCGTGACGTTTTAATTGTTCTTGCCGGGCGGTCGAGGGAATCTCCGCAGCGTCGCAATACATGGCTCGCATGTGACGTCGTGACTACGTGCTCGGGCTCAGTCGTACTTGCTCTGGCCGAGGAAAGCTCATCCAGTGGCGCGAAATATGCGCCGCAACTTCGCGGACACTGAATACGCTGGAAAAGTCATTGGCGCTTCTTTGGCGTACTTGGCAGGTTTTAAGAGATACGCGGTCTAATCTAGGAATAAACTTCCAAGTTGAGTTCCTCTACTTGAAAATGTTTGACAAACTGAAAAAAAAAAGAAAGTAGTGGGTACCCCAGACGCAGACAGAGGCAGTATCGGGTGTTCCAGCTCATATTGTATGCTTGGGTACACGCTAAGCAGCAACGTCACCGCAATGGCCGCTGGTGTGACGTCGATGCAGGCCATGCATAGGGTCGACATGAATGCGACGTCAACGTAGTTTGAAACCTACATAGAAGAATATGGAAACTGAGATAGTGCCACATTCCGTTCATCCCTAAGCTGAGAGTGTGATGGAAGCGCTCATTGGACCCTTCGCAGCCGCCGTTCTTTGCACTAGGGGACCACGCTACCCGTCCACGCCCGATGATCGGGGTCAGGTGATCAAAGATAGACCGCTCCGATCGTGGAGCTTCTGGTCAGCTGAGTGGTGAACAGAATAAGCAAGTTTCCCGCTCACAGAGTTGTAATCTCTGACCTTCGAGACGCCACGATCATTATAGTAAGCGCATTTTCCTTGTCGTTTTTGTTTTACTTTTTACTTTCCATTCACAGAGTTGTGTCTGACGACATCGAGCACGTTGCGGGGGTTTCCGCTAAAATGCGACTGCACGTTACCACGGCAACTGAACGTTCCGTCGCTTGGTAGCTTTGCCAGGTTGTCGTCGTACCTGGGACCTACGTCCGCAATGCCAAACGGAGTCAAATGCTTTTGTGCGAAGAACGTGCTTGTCATCTCTCGATAGGCTTTCCCATTTACGACCAAACGGCTTCGCCACTTCGGTGCGAGAGCATTACAGTTCACAACTTGCTTATGTTTGTGGCGAAGAAGAAAGTGCGTGGAAGGCAGGAAAAAAATGTGCTAGAAAATGAAGCAAGTGAGGCAAATCTTTGTATCTCGTCAGATTGTCGGCGATAAATAGCTTCATGCAGCAGCCAGGCGTTGGTGAATAGGATGGCGTGCAACCAACCGGAACGCATTTTTGTGCCCACAGATCTTGGGCCACACCAACAATGTTTTCGAGATGACGTCCCTCGAGGCAGTGAGAGCCAAGTGCAACGTGGAGGGCGGCCAGGACAATTCGTCGCAGTGTGACTTCAGCGAAGACGGCGACTTCAGTGAGTGCCTCCTCGATCTAGGCTCGTAGCAGAGAGGCCAGCTGCTCCTGCTCAGTGCGAAGCAGAGCCGTGCTACCCACACTGTCGAATCGGAAGCAAACCGAAAAACCGGAATCGAATCGTTGACGAAAATAATCCCTGGAGAAGAGGAACAAGGGGGGCAAAGGGCAAACACAAATCTCCGAACACAGCTAGGTGACTGGTGCGCCTCTAAAAAAATCCGCCTGGTCCTGCTTTACGCACGTCCAACTCCTGGTTAGTTCAGTTGGTAGAGCGCTCCACTGGAAATGGAAAGGTCCCTGGTTCGATAACAGGAACGGGCGAATTGTTCGGTCGCGCTCCAGTCACCTAGCTGTGTTTGGAATTTTGTCCCTCTTTTTTTCCTTCTCCAGGGATTATTTTCGCCCTTCTTGTCCAGCTCGCTCGCATCTTCTCATTTAATCGCATCATCACCGAATCGTTCCTTTGAGCCGAACAGGAACTGAACCGAACCGTAACTGAACCGGAAAAAAATATAACGATAGCCGGTTCAAAAGGGTTCGCGGCAATTTTTGTTTATTACAAAAGGAATGTTGGGGAAATAAAAGATTAGCAGCTGTACTTCTATGTAGTGATCAAGTCGTCAAATTCCGAATTTCAATGTATGAGAAATTGTGCTGTTTCTAAAATATGAAGGTGGCCTAGTTGGATATTCATCTTCGAAATAAATAGCGCGAAAGTCAAGTACAAACTGACGGCACAAGCGCTTTTTCTTTTTTTTGCTTGTACTTGACCTTCGCGCTATTTATTTTGAAAATTGTGGGTTTTCGTGGCAGTTTGAATGGGAACTATACATATAAATTAATCGTGTGTCACGCAGTTACGTTATGGTGCAAGACATGCTGTCAAGTAATGCCACTTCACGTAGCCCCGTGACGTAGTCAGGTAACTCACTGCGTCAAGTCGACTTAACTCGAGAACGTCGCTAAATGTATTGGACTTGTTAACACCCTGACGTCATATATCGTCACGACTTCTCACCGGGAGTCATGTTGCACCCGAACGTGCTCGACTGTCATGAGCCGGAGTCGAGTGCTCGGGTTCATGACAATCAGCATCGCCAAACATTCGCGTAATGGGTCGTGTTCAATCAAAGACGAGAATACACGAACCCTAACACTGTCTGAAACTGAACGCATGCTTCTTCTTTGGCAACCCCGGCGCATAACTGTGATGAACTCTGACGGTATATTTAGCTTCAGATCACGTGACCGCTTGTTCTGATAGACTTAAGGAGGGGAAAGGTGTTCCTTTCCTTTATTTCTTTTTTTGAGTCTGCCACTAAGCAGCGAGAAAAAGCTAAGGGGTGTTTTTGCATATTAGTAAATGTCAGGAATCAGCTTTTAACGGTATTTATGGAAAGTACAAAAATTGTTGCTTGACCCATCTTAGATGTTAAGGCACCTAAACAAGTTTTCGTTGTTGCTGATCTGTCCCAGAAAGTTGTCCCTGAGAACAGAAGCACTGAAAGGACCAAATGTGACCATTAATCCTTCGATAACTAGAACTACACGTGTGTACGGAAGAGATGCCTAAAAAGAAAGATCCTAATGGCCTTTGGGACAGCCGAATGGCAGCTCTAAATCTCATAGGAGTTTCGTCCTCAAGTTCATCCCCAAACTTTGTCCACCTCCGTATTTTATTTAAACTTCACAGTTTGTCTGTACTAAATTAAAGAAATGGATGATTATTGTTGACAAATGGCACAAATATAACTGTCGAATTAACACCCTCAAGCGGAGGAGGAGCTCCCTCGGGAATAATAAATATTCTCCCAAGGGGAAAAGGTGCTGTAAAAGAACTTGTTGTTGGGTTGGTCGGTGTTGACTGGATTGAACCGGGGTTAAAAGCGCTAAAAAGACGTACGCAAGATAGAAGACAAACACGATAGAAAAGAAGATAGAATACAAACCGTGTTTGTCTTCTATCTTGTGTACGTCTTTTTTGCGCTTTTAACCATGGTTCAAACATCTTCTAAAGGGGAATTGAAAAAAAAAAAAAAAATGTGGGGGTCCGGGGTGGAGTTGCGAAAACATACTGTGTTGTAAACGTTCCTATGCTCTGTATATTAGGCAAAGATGAAAAAGCGTGGTCCCGAAAACTATTTTGTTTACAACAACGCTGCTGCCAGAAAGCGCGTTTTCGTGGTGCCGGACGCCCGCGCCGTCCCTCCCGACGCTGCACCGAGCGAGAATACTTTGTGTCTCGAATCCTTTACTTGCGCTGAGCGCGAACCTTCTGCAGCGTGCATCTTGCACCACCGTATTGGATTCTCTAAGCAAGAAAAAATCGCAATGACTATATAGTGCTATGACGTCACGTGCAAAGCATGTGAAACAGTTTGCGATTTTCTGAACACTAGCAAGAGTGGATGTCCAAATTGTAAAACTGCGCAGTACAGTCTGGCGATGATATGCGGCAGCGTAATGAAACGTTAAAGCGCGCATGACTGATAAAGCACGGGGCTGTAGAGGGAGGGCCCAAAGCAAGTGCACGGAAAACCGAAAAGAGCATTATTGTAAACCCTTAATGTTCGCGAGCCCTCAATTTTCGCGAATTTCGCGAATTGAAGAATTCGCGAAATTTAAGGGCGCGCGAAAATTTCGGTCCTTAAAATTTTCAATGCAGGCGTCTTGAATTCGCGAAATTTAGTGGTCGCGATTATGTCATCTGTGACCGATTCGCGAAAAATAGGGGCCGCGAAAATAGAGGGTTTTACTGTAGCTTTCCGAGAAAATATTTTGCGAAGTTTCGAGCTCTTGCGAGTCGACGTCCAAATGTGCTTAATAGTAGGAATATATATGGTCTGTCCTGCGCGCTATTTGTGTGCCATTAGGAATATCATCGCATCTCTATGCATTTCTTTTTTGCAGTAAGGCCTCGTATAGGGGATTATTTGCGAGAATACCAATTCTCTGTCTGCACATTTCGTGTAATTGTCTTCAGATCTATTATGTGAGTACACAGTCTTTTTTGGCCTACTCCGCGACCCGGCGTTTCCCACTGCCAATCAGCGAACCAAAAGCCCCCTTTCCTCAGACTCCACAGCTGGCGTCTTCGAGTGTCGGTTTCAAGCGGTTATGTGAACTTTATACAGGTTTATTTATTGATGACAATAATATATATAGATATAATTAATGACTGAGGATTTGACAACATAAATAAAGGACCGATCACCTTTAAAGATTTATGATATTGAAGCTGCTTTAAAAAGCTACGTGTTCCTGACACGTACTTAACTCCTCAAACATATGCAAAATAGTTATTGCCTCTTTTATGCGATGAACAACAGTTTCACGTGTCTATGGGCAGGACGAAAGCAAAGTAGACAGGAGCGCGTGGCGGAACTACGACGATTGCGCACGCAGACCGCCAGGAACGGAACAATTAAGTAGCTGCAATGTCGGGTAGAGTATGAGGTACCACTTTGTTATACTATTTAACGAAGAATCACCACTTAGCGAGGGTGATGCTTAGCTGCAAATTAAATTGACCGGCATCTTGTCAAGAACAAGCTTCAAACGCCAAGTTATGCTCACTTGAGTACGCGCTATTTTAGTCCAGAATCAATCTGAATACGAAGGTGCGTATCTATTAGAAGGAACATTTTTGAACGCTCCATTCTGCGGGATTCTTCGCCAGCATCACAGTGCTGAGTGTAAACAATGTTGGTTAGGAAAACTACCGTTGTGCTTGCCGCTCAATGTTTCTATAATCGGTAGACTGCAAGGGCTTGTCCTAAAACTTTCGTGAGATCTTGAAAATATTATTGTTCTTAACTCAGTTGCGTCGTCGTCATATATATTGTGAAACGTATTTCGTAAACTAGATTTCACGATATATATGGCGAGGAGGTGCCCATTTCATGATTTTATGCACCGCAATAAATTCCCAAGTTTAAGAGCACAACGAGGATTTATTTAATACTGCGACGCAAAGTTGTACCAATCGTGGGTATTTAAGGCGACCTACCAAACTGATGATCTTTTGATTCGGGTAAAATATATGCGAAAGAGGTAAACAAATAAAGATTGAGTCGTATAAACATGTTTTGTATGTTGGTCTAGCTCGTCTTTTACCGTGTCGTTGAAAGTAAATAACGCGATTTCTTATTTATGGTACCTGAAAATAAAATGATGGAAGCGTGCTGAGGGATAGTGACTCCTTGAGGTCACGCGACCTCAGGGGGGGGGGGGGGGTGGAGGGGTCGTGTGACGTCAGGGGGGTCACGTGACCTGGGGAGTCGCGTGTTCTCGAGGGGGGGGGGGGGGGGGTAACGTGACCTCGCGGTTACGCCGACGCCGACACCGCTCAAGCCGGAAACGGGCCACTAAGAGCTGCGCTCTAAAAATTAAAGCCGTTTACAACTGCCTGTGGCACCAATTTAGAGCGCAGCTCTTGAGGAGGAGGAGGGAGGGGTACTGAGTGGAGGGTATATCCTTCCTCCCTCCTCCTCCTCACCTCCTCATCCTGCCTGCTACTCTTCCCTCTGAGCGGCGTCGCCGTCGCCTTACGAGGCTCACGTGACCTCACGGGGGTCACGTGACCTCACATCAGGCGTGACGTCATCAGTGCCTTCACTGATGACGTCATCGGCATCCGCATCGTCATCGTCACTGATGACGTCATCGGCATCGTCATCGTCACTAATGACGTCACCAGCGACGTCACTGATGACGTCATCGGCATCGTCATCATCACTGATGACGTCACCAGTGACGTCACGTGTCCCATAATGCACCGAGCAGTTACGCCGACGGCGACGCCGCTCAAGCCGGAAACGGGCGGCTAAGAGCTGCGCTCTAAAAACTAGAAAGTTTCTCGTTTCACGGTTGAAAAAGGGCCTATTGCCGAAAGGACGCGGAATATATATTCTCAATTTAGCGGTTCAATACGGCTTGAACCGTTATATTTGCTCCCTGGGAGTGAACCGGAACTGAACCGAAATCCCCGAACCTGAACCGAACCGATAAAAATTTCCGTTCGACACTATGGGGCTACCCACACTGCCCACTGTGCACCTCAAAGCTGAAGGCCTTTCAGAGCCACTCTTCGCGTATCGCACAACAAGCTGAAAATCCTCGACTGCGCGCACTGTTCGAGCGAATTTCAATCTCCGGAAGCTGTCAAAGGAATACTCGAGCGTAGGAGCAGAGTTCTCGATGACTGGACGAAGCTGACCTGAAGTGTCTTCTCGCAGATTACGAAGACGCGTTGCTTCACCTCAAGGGACAGATGATGTACATGGACGAGTGGCAGAGCATGGTCTACTTGGCAACGCCCGTGTGAGTATTCGCCTGGAAACACTCGGAGAGTTTTAATCTCCTCACACACCGTACAAAGCGTTCGCTGTATTATATAACGGGTGCTCGAAACATGTTTGCTCGTCGTTGCGTCGTTGCATGCGGGTGGCGTCATATCTCTACTTTGTTTCGCCTTAAGTACATGTGCAGTCGACAGGAGCTGAGGGAACCCATCAGAGAGCGTCCAAAGCGTACCATCGTGGTTTTAGAGCGCAGCTCTTACGGTACGTTTGCACTTGCGGATCCGCCAGCGAATCCGCCCAGCTTTTGCCTCTGGGGCGAAACGCTGGGCGGAAAACGCGGCGGGGAGCCGTATAGGTCCGGGTTCTATTTCTGCCGCCGGACGAGGCGTTTCGCTGACCGGATGTGACATTCTTGCGCAGTGCGACGCTACCTACGTCACGAGTAGCGTTCTTCCGGGAGCAGCAACGCCCGGGAGAGACAGCCGAGGTGGGAACTCTCGTGCCTTCTCGTCATATTCGACGGGATTTTACGAGAACAGCTACCGCAGCCAGCGCCGCCGCTCAAAGGAAATAGAAGTAAACGCAACCCACTCGTCGCCGCCGCCGCCGGGAGCGCATCCGCTCCCGCGGGTCCGGATTCCTTCTTATCTGTTAACGTACATTAGGCGGCCGTTTCTGGCTTGAGCGGTGTCGCCGTCGGCTTAACCGCGCGTCGCATCATGGGAAATGTCCCATAATGCACCGCGCGGGGAGAAGGAAGAGGCGAGGTAGAAGGGGAGGAGGGGGAGGAAAAGAACGGGAGGGGGAGGAGGAGGAGGCGAAGAGGACAAGGGAGGAGGGATGAGGGGGTGAAGCAGGACGAGGGGGTGGAGGGGGAAGAAGAGAGGAGGAGGAATGAGGAAGAGGGAGGGGATCAGGGGAAAAGGAAGTGAAGCAGGAGGAGGAAGGGAGGAGGACGAGGAGGAGGAAGGAGGGAGAGGAGAGAGGAGGAGTGGCAGAGAGAATGAGGAGGAGGGAGGAGGGGTATACCCTCTTCTCAGTACCCTTCCCTCCTCCTCCTCAAGAGCTGCGCTCTCAGTTGGCGTTACAGGCTTTCGTTTTTTGTCATATTTCTATACGTGTTTTATCAATACTGAACTAATCGTAAGCAAAAAAGGCCCACTGACTCGCGATTTTAATGCTCTTTGATTGGTCTCATTAGGTCGTAGCGTCCGCGGCGTCTGAACTGGAGCTGCAGCCGCGTATAGTCGGTTTTGAACGCCTGTGCACAGGAAGCTTCTACGAGGGCGGCCGGCTAACGCTCGTAGCCAGTGTACTGTCCAATTATCATGAATAATGCCGCGTGCAGTGCGAGCTCGTCACCGCTGGTTCACACATGCATCGCAGAGCTGAGATAACGTAAACTCGGCGCTGACTCATTGCTGAGCTAGTGCTGCAGTATGTGCGTAGGCAGGAAAAGTCTGGCTCGCAGGAGCGACGATTCAGCGCTAATATGACACAAAGTCGGTGCTGCGTTTATAGCGTTCGTCTACGGCCGCAATGTGTGCGTGAACAGGTCACATCATTAAAGTTCCACGACAAGAGATTCCTACAATTAGCGACATCCCTCGAAGCACCAACTGCGTGGCGTGCAAGTTTTAGGAAGCGAATGGCTGCGCACAGCAGAAGACTGAACTGAGTGACGCCATTTGGTTCCAGCGGATTGGGCTCTGTCATTTCTATCGGTTGTCGTTACCTGTAAAAAGAGTCTCAGGGAGATGACTGTACTGCCCGATCCTTTCAATCGTCGAGGAGCCAGTGAACGAGCCTGTTCCGATGTCCTGGACTTGGCAGGATGCGCGACCTGGAGACGATGGTGCTCACGGGGCTGTACATCAACGACCTGAGCATGCACGACTTCAGCAGGGACATGGTGCTCGCGGGACAGCAGCAGTCTGCCGAACTCAAGCTGGCTCTGGATCAGGTCCGTGGTCTCTGGCCACTTTCTTAGAGTCAATACGAATGTCGACGTTGGTGACGCACCGCCATTAGTACGAGTAAAACTGATTATACCAAAGTGACCGGACCCGGGGAAAGTAGCGTCATGGTCGCCATTTTGGTTCATGGAATGAGCAGTTTCTCCTTCTCTAATCTTGGTGAGGGATTTAAATCCGCTGGTGACACTTTATAACGACGTTTCTTGTATACCGAGATTTCGCTATCCAAACACCGGCCATACAAGCGTACATCGTACCGCGTGCACCACACGCGACGTCGCTGCTTGGAGGCATTGAAAATAATTTTCCTACCTCGGAATAGGTAAGAAAATTCATTATACGGAATATGTAGAGATACGCATGCTTGATAATTGGGCATGCACACTGCCAAAGACGCTTCTATTGGCGAGGAACACTTTCAGCATCAAAGTAGCCGCACCGCGCTGAGCTCAGCCGTGCAGCCACTTTGAAGTCTGCCCGTGCGGGCTGTGCTGGCTCGGCGGCCAGCCCGCCACCCTCTCCCTCTTACCGGGGGCTGGGCTGCTGCGCCGCCATGGAGAGGGCTGCTCCGGTGGCGCTCCTGGGAACTACGCCGCGCGCGAGCCAATGGGAGCCCCGTTCCTTGAATATAGGACGCGCGCCAGCCAATCGGAGCCTATCCATCAAATCGCTGCTACAGACGGCAGGCTTCGCTCCATCGGGACAGGGGAGTTTAGGTGCCGTTTGGCGCGGCTTCAAAAGCTGATAACGCCGCTTCGCTTTATGGGACAAGTAGTGCTTTGGCATTAAAATGCCCCATAGAGATATTGACGCGACTGGTTCCGAACGTCTTTTGCGAAGCTTCAAAGATTTGAAGGAACCGAAATTGCGATCGCCATGACAGCTGAGATCAATCAGCAAATCACCGTCCGAGCGGTCTATGTGTTAGTATATCCTTGTGTCCGGCTAGCAGGCGGGGAAGACAATGGCCCTACTTTTCCAGGATCCAGTCGCACTGCCGGGCACCTGTGCTTGTACTGTCGAAAGCGTGATTTGATACAACATGCGAGCGCTACTATACTCCATTCCATACTTGGTGTACAACACTGTCAAAGCTACTGGCGCGAGCATCTTAGTCGTAGTAGAAGTAGTAGTGGTAATAATAATAATAATGATAAATAATAACAAAAATAATAGATGGCCACGCGCTCGCGCTAGTAGCTTTGACAGCGTTGTATAAGCTCTGGGTTAGCGTAAGCTAGGGCGAAGACCAAGCAATGAGCACGAGCATGTGTCTTGAACTGTGATCCGTAGAAAGACTGTGCGAGCTACTCGATCGTTCTCCGTGTTGTCTTCTTCCCAGACTCTTGAAACACGTTTTAAAACATCGCTCGCGTTATAAAACAATGCGATTATTCTGTATCGAGTGACTACACACAATGTTGAATGGTGAAGGAACCCTCCAGTCCGTTCTATTTTAGTTTAGGATGTATGTTTCGCAAACGCAAAGCGAGAGACGTGATCTGCCCGAAACTCGGCGCTTGCAAGGTCACTTTCCCGCACGAAGATCGGAACCAGCTCGGTGCACCTGATCGGAAGGAAAAGGAACGCGGTACTCTGGCTCTGCAAGCACAGCCTAGACAGTGACTCTGGGCTAGCCTTCCGACCCCTGCCGCCGCCGGCGACTGCTGGGAAGGAAAGCGCGTGGCGGTGCTGAGAGCAATCGACGTGCCATAATTTGGCAGTTACAAAGCCACAAAAAAAAAAAAAAATGGGAGAAACTACGACAGAAGCAAACAGATTAGCACTTCGCAGATGAATTATTGACACCTCCCGGCGTTCAGAAGCCTTAACCGCTCTCGCCTCGCTGCCCTCTGGTTGTTCATTGCTTTGTACGTAAAGACGGAAAAGGAGGAGGAGAAAAACACTCGAGTATGCTTGTTATCGCTGCTGCGTACACCTCACAGCCTCGCCGAGGTGAATCTGTCCTTGCTAAGGAGGCAGAGAAGTCCAAGATGCTTTTCTCGTTGAGACTGAAGAAGGTGAGGAAGGCAGCAGCTACAATGGCACGCCGATGGCGCGCAGCGCTTCCAGCAATTTCATCCGCGGCGCTGCCATCTTGCTGCGTTCGAACGGCAGACTAGCCGGTCTTGCTAGGGACTTTAACGTCCTTTGGGCTACGTTTACACGAAAGCGATCGTAGTGCATCGGAGCGAGCGTGGACCGATCGAACGCAGCCTGTCTTGCCATCTGCTACCAGTCGAAATAGTTGCATCTCGATTCCATGCGCTGCTTTCGCATCTATGGAAATGCAACCTATGACTTCACGTGCGCGCTCGCACATATGGGGAAAAAGAGTTGGGAGCATATTAAACGTAGGAGTATTCGGACGCTCGGAGATGCCTTCTTTTAAGATTGCGTGCCATACATTAATCCCAAGTTATTCCCCGTATAGACGTTTCCATCTCAGTAGTTACCCGACCGGAGGATAGAGGGCGCTAGCATGGTTTCGGTATCAGCGCGCTCCCGGCTGTGTCTATGTTCTACGTCATTTTTGCCTAACTTCGTGATGCAAGAATGTCCGTTATAACATACAGCCGATAAGACAGAGGTAGTGAGCCACTTCGAGACCCACGAAGTGGTTTCGAGTCATATTTGCGGACGTTTTTACGAACACTTTACGATGCATGTGCTCATGTTCGTCGTTATTTTCGGTCAGGTTCGGTGGCGAAACAATAGATGATGCAATAGAAGGATTCCCATCGTTTACGGCCCTACTCGAATCGAGAAAAGCACATCAAGTCGAAAGGTCACTGCTCACTGTCTGCTTTATTTGGATGCCCAGTTTTTTTTGTGAACTTTAGAGGCTGGAAATGCCTCCTATAAAAACGCAGCTATTTTAAAAATATGCGATATTGTCTCGGGCTGGTTTTCTTTAAAGGATTAAGTACTCTCGAAATATTTTGATAACCCGTCCTAGGTCGGGTGGGAAGTTTATTTAGCTATTGGCCCTGCTAAAGTACATATTAAAAGTGCTTCTCAACGTTGGCGCTGGGAAATAAACTATTTGTTTTACTGAGATTTGATGACGACGTATTCATCATGTGAGATGAATGACAGGCCCATCATTTGAAGTCTAAAATGTTTCTTCGCATAACCTTTGCCAAATGAAAGGACTGCTGAGAAGTGACCTCCCGCACGTTTGGCTGAAGTCGAATGCTAGGCACCGCTTCATGAGTCTGTGTAGAAAGACCTTCGTTGAAGCGGATGCGATCTGGAATCCGCAAGGCCGAACTCGGGTGATGTTCATGCTGATGGCTTTTCTTCGGCCTCACATAATGCGAGGCACTCTCAAGCTGCGCGTGACAGATATTTTTACCGGGGTAGTCCTGACCTCTATGTGGAAATAATGGAAATAAATTATTTGAATTGGAAGTCTTAAAAAATGTGGGTAAACATTTGAATGACTGGAGATATGGGACCGAGCGTGGTGTGCAGCTTCTTTAAATTCACGAATATACGAATCGAGCAAATGTTTATATCCAAAAAACGATTAGAAACGTCTAATACATTTCGGTGGGATATCGTGAACGAGCCAATCACCTGACGTGCAAGTTACCATTAGCTTGAGCACCAGGTAAGATGTGAGTTAAACGTTCGTTACTTACCTTCCTGTATAACAAGAAACTACTATTTTCAATTTTATATGAAGGTAAAGCACGATGCTTTCAGGAAACACACATAGCATCGCATGTGTCAGCGAGCAAAATTTAGTTGTCATAAATAATTGGGCTCAATGTTCGCCAGGGCTGACACTAATTGCTGTACCTCCTCCCTTCTCGCACGTATCCGCCAGGCCGACGGTGAAAAGAGTCGTATTTTGTCGTGCGCATAATGATGGCATGCAATTAAAGGAGGCATGAAACGCTTTTCCCACTTTTTCATGTTTAGCTTTCCTCCTCAACTCATAAATCTCGCATTCTACCAAACAGTTCGAGAAGACGGAATGGGGGGAGTTCCCTTCTGCTCGTGATCTCGTTTGTGTAGCCGGGCACAGCCATTCTCCCCCTAGAAGATTAGCCCGTCGCTCAAACTTCAGACCAAAGTTGCTTTCCCCACCCCTTTCAGCCCTAAGCTGACAGTGCTGTGGAAGCTACGTGCTCTTTACTTGGGCCAGCCACACTTTTGCCACGTGATCACGCTCTCTCGCGCATACCCACGCGCAGAGAATGAGGACAGCTGATGAAAGGGAGGAGGCTGATTGGTCCGGCAAGCGCGTAGCTTCCACCACAATGTCAGCTTAGGGCTGAAGGAAGTAAGTGAGGTCCGGCGTCGTGTGACGAGCGTTTGGGTCCGGTGACGCGCTGCGGGGTCCCGGTGACGCGCTGCGGGGACCGCGGGTGTATCGCAGTGAAAAGGCAGAGCTTGCAAAGGGAAGGAGGTACGAAATAGTCCGCTGTGTTTTCAAATTTTCGTACCGAAAGTCAGGCTTTGGACTTTCTACCTTTTTTTTCTTTTGGCCCACTGAAGGATGTGCTATTAGTAAAATCCCAGTCGAAAATGATTTACTCCAGCCCAAAATTCGTTTCACGGGCCCTTTGAGCTGTGAATATAAGCATCGGGCGACACTTTACGCAATAAGGCGAGAAACGCGTTGAAACGCGAGGGAAAGCAGGCATGCAACGCCTTCGCCAAGGCGCGGAGGGGAGAGCGGAGAGACGAGCTGAACTGCCACCGAATGGCGGCCGCGTCACAGGATTGTAAGATGGCAGCACCCATCCGACGGAGCGCGGAAAGTTGTTTATTTATTTTTTTCCTCTTCATAGATAGCAATAAAAATTGGTAGTCGGAAAGAAAGACCCGTGAGCCTGGGGCTCCTGAAATGATTCCCCGGGAGCCTTAGATGTCATTCCAAGGCGGTTCCACGTTGATTTTCTCTCGTCAACTTTTATTATGATGATGGAATTATTGCGAAGGTGCAATTGAGCTCGAGAATAATGACGAACATAATTACCGGAGAAGGGGAACAAGGCGGGCAAAGGACAAACAGAAAGTTTTATTCGCGATCAAAATGGAACGGCGAGGGTTATCTGATGGAGGTTGAACTCAGTGAAAGGTATTCGCGACTTTGCGGCACAACACGAACACATGTCTTTGTGTTTGTGTTCTAAAGTCCCAGTAGTATTTCTCACGATATGTGTTAGTTTGGTTAGCTCGTTTCAATTTCCTACCGCCCACGACTGGATTTGGACGTGCTTCGGCGTGTTGGGCAATGCTCGAGAGGGATACTGAGCGTCCTGGGCTTGGGCGCAGGAGCTGACGAAGAGCCGGCAGCTAGAAGACTCGATGCGCAAGCTGGACATCGAGATGAAGAGGACGGACGAGCTGCTCTACCAGATGATACCCAAAGCGGTGGCCGACCAGCTGCGCAGCGGCGAGACTTCCGTCAACACCTGCCAGGTAGGGCTCGGGCTGCTGCGGAACCAGATTCCCGCGTCGTCCGTCGCCTCCCCGGTACAGGCGATTCACACATTCGCGTCGAGTCTGACCGACACCAACTGCAACGGCTTGGGGCGTACGGGTTGCTATGCCAACAGCTGCGTCGGCTCTAACAGAACTGTTGTTGACCCCGTTTTGTTGGAGCCGACATAGCTGTTGCCATAGCAACGCTCGCACTCAGTCCGACTCAATTCAAGTGTAGGAATTGCCCTTTACACAGACCCCGTTGCGCTACCAAGCAATAGGCCATATGCGAAATTTAGAGCGCCATCTAGTAGCGCGCCGAGAACTACGTCCGCCATCTTGTTAGTGGCGAGAAAACGAAACCAGATACCCGACCGGCAAAGACCCCATGTAAACAAGCGACCGCGCTTCGTGCGAGAGATGCGATGACAACGATTGCTGCGTTCCGCTGCGGATGCAGCAATAAACCTTCGATTCGTGCGTGACATGAACGCGAACGTGAACAGGGCTCACAGTTTTTCTTTTTTTTCTTATTTTTATCTGTTACTTGAGACGCAGCTTTTGACAAAAACGATCGGTGACAACGCGAAGAAACATGCGGACGTTATCGCGCGGCGTGAAGCCATTTACAACTATTGAACCGGGCCCTAATCTTTTCACAAAGTTGCACCAAATTTGCTTATGACCTTTTTCTTTTATGTGCGTTGTAGTGTCGGCCTGGCCTTTTTCTAGATGCGCAAGCAGCTCAATGCATGCGGACGAGACCAAGGCTGTTAAGCGAGGCAAAACGATGGCAGTTTTAATAATCTACGCCACCAACCATAATTGAAGATGCGTATGGTTAGGGTCATCGCAGTGGCTAACACTTCGATGTCGGTGGCCGCAAAAATATTTATGTTGCGGACGTCGAATGAAGCAACACGGGCGGTGCCAACTTTATTTTACAACCTCCTTTTATTTTAATTTTTTTTCTTTTTGTCGCAGCTGAGGTCGAAATTTGTGTTTTGTGCAAAGAAGCTGGGGGTAGTTTGGGAAAGTCACTGCAGTTATTCTGTCAGGGTTGAACAAATTTTCATTAATAGCGCAACGTCCGTCAACTGTGCTTGAGGTCAATGCTATCTGAAACCAATTTTAGCCCTTTGCAACGCTTGAAAAATATTGCCCAGGGCACAGTTTCTTTTAGAAGAAACTTTTAGTGTGCCACCAAAAAACCCTCCACCAATAATAAAAAAAAACGAATGTTGAGTCATTATATTTGCGTAGAACAGTATACGATTTCAAGCGTATTCGCACCGAAAAAAGAATTAAAAGTGTTCTCAAAGATGAAAAGCGCATAACGGCTTAGACCTTTCGGAGGCCCGTGCACACGCTGGCGACAACAAGCTTCCACAGCGAAGGCGTAGGACTTGGTCCGCTGCTTTGACGAGGTTGTCGCCAGCGTGCACAGACCTCCCATAGTTTTGTCAGACAGTTGCGGTAGGTTGTTTGAACTGTTCGTCCACATAATATGGTCAGAAGGCGGAAAGCAGTTGCTGCTCCATCGCACATTGCCCGTACGGCTGTCTCCGATGCCTCCACCGTGCTTCGGTACCCACAACGCTTGCCAACATTAAAATGACGACGCTCTCAGTGTTGTCAGACCACAAAGCAATTTCGCATAAGGTCTATTAACTTTTTTTTTTTTTTTACCTGGCCCGCCTAAGCTTTTGTGTGAAGGGGGCGCTGCAAGACACCTCTGATTGCATTAACGTCCCTCCAGCTGTCGTGGGGGTGGTCTTGCTGCTGAGCGAGTACTATCGCGGACAATATGAGCTCAAACAATCCTTCATCCTTCGTGGGCGTATACCTACCGTTTCGGAAACTTCTTGGTCCAAACTTTCTAATAAAACGCGTAGCCTACGTCACACATTTTTTTTTATCTCTATGACAAATCGAGTGATAAGTAGGGCTGGGCATTTGGTCGATTAACATACCGATTAATCGATTAATGCTTTAATCGCGATTAATTTTTTAACCGGTTAATCGGTAATATTTTAACGAACCAAAATAAAGTAAAAAGTAAACGCTTTCACCACGCAGACGTGAACGAGAACACCTCTATAGGGGACAAACTTTAGGTCAGAATTTAGCCTAAAGTAATCTGTAGGGGGAAGATTCGTAACTCCTGACAAGGTGCAGAAGGTTACACGTCTCCCGGCCACTTCAATAGCGTTTGAGTGTCCGTCTCGTGCAGCAGAGAGAGACCATAGTGTGAACAATCAAAGGAGGTCGCTCTTGCCGGATAATAGCACCGAACCTTTAACCTCATGCAGCTGACGTAATAATGTGCCAGTGCCTTCGAACTGTTGTTAACTACACATCAAGGTTGATTCATAATAAAACTTCTGTATTAGGCCTTTTACCTCATGTTCAGCAAAGGCAAAAACAGAAAAAAAAAGTTTTTTTGACTTTCTAAAAACATTATGCACGGAAATTAACGAGACCGATTAATCGATTAAGTAATCGATTAAAGGGTGGCGATTAATCGGGTTAAAACTTTTAATCGACGCCCAGCCCTGATAAGGAAAAGCTATGGACATTTCCGATGCATGAAAATGCCGGATCGGATGTTGCAGCTCATATTGTACCTTCTGTAGAGTGTATTATGCAACACCGAATTTGTTTTTACGGGCCAGAAAAAGTAGTAAAAAAAAAACAAAGAAAAAAGCATAGGGCCATGGCGTCATGCGCAAATTGTTTGTCGAACCCCGAGAGTAAGAGAGAAACCAAGAGAGGAGATTTTATGTGCCGAGACTCATACCGTGACCTCCGACGGGAACGCCATTGGCTGCCGCTATGGTCACGTGATCCCTTATGCCAGCCAATGGGACCTACACGCGAGGAATCCGTGCTCTGCGGTGACCACTACTCCGAAGGCCGCCAAATTTTGAGATGTCCAGGGTGAAGAAGACCCTCCCTGCGTGGCCCTGTAGCCGTGGCCCTAGTGGTTATACCTGATCACATGCTCACGGACGTGGTCCCTTGACGCCGATTACGCCACTTGAACTTCCCTTTCGATTTTTAAGGTCGGTGTTTGTTCGATTTCTGTGTCGGTCTTTTTGAACGCAGCCAGCCCAGCCTGTTAGTGTTTCTACATTATCATAATTACCGTACGTACGCTATATCAAAAGTCTGTAAGCGACACCCGTTATACTATTTTGACGAAAGGAAGAAATCCGCACAAACAGGTATACAGGGCAGAAGCACACAAGTCCCTCGTTAGTAACGAAATTTATTCATACAAACTCTAAAACATGCAACCGGGTGATTCGGAAATTAAAAAAAGAAGAGTGCCAGAAATATGGAAGAGGAGTGGGAAATCGAATTGAAATAATCTATCTCCCCTCCTCTTCAGTGTCCTCTTCAGTTTCCGACTCGCCTGGCTCAAGGTTTTCGTACCGAAATGACCGTCGAAAGCGAGTTAAATGTTGGAGTTTTCGACAGTCTGAGGTCAGTTTGCCACTGTGTGACAACACTGGTTTACACGGTGCGTAAGAGCTGCTAAGCTCGGCTCTTCAGCGTGCATCTGGCTGAGGTGATTACACGAATGTTCGCCGATATACGACGCTCATTCATATCGAAACGGAAACGAACGATGTCTTCTCTCGCGTCTTTCGTCCATGACCTGCATGTTAACCTCGACTCTAACATTCAAACTGACGCCATCTTTCTAGACTTTGCTAAAGCTTTTGATAAGGTCCCTCACAGACGTCTCATATACAAGCTTAATCAACTTAACTTAGACCCCGCGATTTTGAACTGGATCATTAGCTTTCTTACGCATAGACATCAATTCGTTACCGTTAACCAGTCATCATCCTCTATTGCCGAAGTCACCTCAGGCGTTCCTCAGGGATCGGTCCTTGGACCACTCCTATTTCTAATATACATTAACGACCTACCCGTATCAATCACGTCGCATATTCGCCTCTTCGCTGACGATTGCGTCATCTACCACCAAGTAACTAACCCTTCGGACCACCAACTCATTCAAGATGACCTCATACGAATTCAAGCGTGGTGCGAAGAATGGCAGATGTCTCTTAACGTCCAGAAATGCCAGCTCGTGTCATTTACACGTCGCGTAACCCCCTCCGTGTTTTCCTACTCACTTAATAACGTACCTCTGCAGAAAAGCCTTTCCTATAAGTATCTCGGAGTCCACCTCTCATCTGATCTTTCCTGGGCTACTCATATCAGTCACGTTATCTCCACTGCTAATCGCTCACTAGGCTTCTTAAAACGTAACCTTAAGCTAGCCCCTCCTCACCTAAAGCTGCTTGCCTACTCATCCCTTGTCCGTCCTAAATTGGAGTACGCATCTGCCATCTGGGACCCGCATCAGGCCTATCTCATCAATAACCTCGAGTCACTCCAGAATCGTGCAGTACGTTTTATCTACTCAGATTATTCTTCCTTTTCTAGCGTAACTAATCTTAAAATCCGTGCAAACCTCCCTGTCCTTTCTGTCCGTCGTAAACTTGCTAGGCTATCTCTTTTTCACAAATTTCACTACAGTCAGTGCCTCCGGTCATCATACATCATATCTTCAGAATACCGGCTTCGTCGTACGGGACATAACCTCGGCGTAAGACGCCCCAAAGCAAGAACCGTCACCTTCCAGAATTCATTTTTTTCACGCACTGCCATTGATTGGAACGATCTTCCCGAGAACGTCATCATCACTCATGACCCGATAGAATTTAAGAAACGCTTGCTAGACTCCCCACTTTAGGTTTGTACGAACCATCTATATGTGTACAGTTTGCCTTTCACATTTGTGTGTTTTTGCTCTTTGTACGCGAGTTGTTTTTGGCGTGTTTTCTACCCTTTTGTTTTACGCTCTGTACCCACCCCTTATGTAATACCCCCAAGGGGGTCCTTAAGGTATCTAAATAAATAAATAAATAAATAAATAAACCTGCGTTGTGTTTTCTCGAGTTAAAACTAATCGGAAA